TTGCTGTTTTTGTTTTCAGCACAATTCTAGTACTGTGAAGAAGATGATCCAGGGGCCAGAGCACTGTCCCTCCTGTACCCCATAACTATGGTTTTTGTTGTGGGTTTTCTTTTTTTGCCCCCAGAGTTGGTGTTTTTCTTCTTTTTGGTCTGGCAGCCCCATCCTGGCAACATGAGCTCTGCCTGTCCATCAGCACGGATAAGCAAGAGTCTGGCGGGGGAAAAAAGTAAATCGTGATCCTGTCATTCAGGCCTGCAGTAGACTCTGGAAGTGTAAGGGAGCTGAACCGGGATTACCAGCGTAACGTGTTTCCTAACCTTGGTTGCTGTGCCTTTGCGAGCTAGACAGAAAAGTGTTTTCCCATTGTGTGGTGGTTATTATTTTCTAGTGGTTTATTAGACTATGACGGGGACTCAGGCCAGAGGGAAGAACGCTGGGGAGGCTCGTGTTGCTTCTGCTCATCCTTTGCCATATTTGACAAAAAACGTGGGGTGCCAGGATGCTGTTTGACCACAAACACGCACGTGCTCTGCCAGTGCTGGTGAACTCCCCGTGGGGAGCTCATGGAGAGGGGGGAGAGATGCTGCAAGATCTCTGACTTGCAGATAGAGGGGGGAAAAATCTTTTCAACGTTGAGCAGGGTAAGTCTGATGCAGGATTAAAGACTTACTGATGTTGAGGTCTTGTGTTACAATATTTATAGCCTCTATAACTGAATAAACAAAGCAGATCTTCAGCCACGGTTGGGAAACTTGTACTTTTGCCGTCCCGTTCCCAACGAGGCCATTGCTGTACTGGTGTGGTAGAGGCCTGAAGAGGAGCTTATGGGCATGAAAGTGTTTTTTCCCACCGCGTCGGCTGGTTCGATAGATGTCGCCTCTCCCTCCAAACGCTGCGTTGTGACTGTGATTTCACTTTCCTCCAAAGCAGTTGGTTTTCTTCCTGGGACTCCGATGATGGTTGCTGTCTCTCCTTGCTGCTGCGGCTGTTTTTGCTGCGCAGGGACCCCTGGCGCGGAGCTGTGACTCTGGGGAACTCGGTTCACTACTGCAGCAGGAGATCAGGTTTGCAATGTCTCATTCACTTCTCTGTTTCTCTCTTTCCTTTTCTTCCTTTCCCTGCAGAACACAAGTGCCCGGTGGACCAGAGGGAGCAGTTAGAAGAAACCCTGCCTCTGATTTTGGGCCTGATACTGGGGTTGGTTATCGTGATAACCCTCTGTGTTTACCATATCCACCACAAGCTGACAGCCAACCAAGTGCAAATTCCTCGGGACAGATCTCAGTACAAACACATGGGATAGGGGACAGGATCGAGCAGCCCAAATATTTATCAGGTAGAAAAAGCAAAAGCACTTTTTTCGAAGGGTGAGGAAAGGTTATGGGGGGGCGAGAGACGGTATTCACACCACCTAATGGCGGGTATTTCATGGAGACACACAAATTAAGGTTAGGCTTTAACGTAGTCGGTGCAGAGACATAGCTGTCTCTGTAAGAAGACTCAGAGCATCTGATTTTAGGAGTCTGTCTGTGGCAGTAGGTGATATGAATATTATCTTAAGCAGCTGGGCCGATTGTCTGGAAACAGAAATGCTTCACATGTCAAAGTTTAACACTGGGGGCAAAATTAGCTTTTTTCTTTCTTTTTTTTTTTTCCCCTCCCTTTTTTAAAATTCTTCCTCTTTTTTTCCTCCCCCTAAGGGACTCTTACCTCCCCAGTGCGCTGCGCTTGGCAGCGTTCAGCCCTCTCTGTTCACGTCTGTGCAGGGAGCAGGGCTGGGGGATGGAGCCATCGGACAGACTTCATTAAGGTCCTCTAACGGAGGGACTCAAACCACATGCCTGAAGTTTGCACTCATGTTAAGGAAAGCATGAAGGCAATACAGGTGTGTTTTGAAAAATAATAATAATAATAATAATAAAAAAAAAGGCCAGAACCTCAAGCTGGTATAAACTGCAGTAACTCCAGCGCAGCAGTTTGCAGCCAGCTGAGGAGCTGACCCCACACTTGAGGCTGAGCGAGGAAAGTTTGTTTTTGCTTCTTGAGCCACATCTGAATTAAACTTAAAAATAATAATTAAAAAAAAAGAGTATTGATACGCAAATTATAAAGTGCCATGCTACTGCAAGTCAACTGAGAAATGCTTCTGGCTGGACATCCTGCACGTATTGTGATTGTTGTTGAGATGTTACATTGCTACCTGCAACTGGTATTTTCACAATGAAACAAAAAAAAAGAAAACAGGAATGTTAAAGTTACTATGCAGATTATTCAGGTGTAATCTAATGTAACAGAAAAAACCATAAGGAAACCCTTGAAAATCTCTCCTTAAATGTAGACCATTTTTAAAATTAATTAAAACATGTACATATATAATACATGATTTGCCTTCTTATTTTGAAATGATACAATGCTTTTTACTAACTCCATGGTATCTAATGGAATCGGTGCAAAAATACATAGTCTGGATGGATGTGAAATGTAGGATTTATTCTAGCAATATTTTGGTGCAGATGGTTTGGTGAAGGCATGGTGGTGGCTCAGTATTCTGTGTTTTGTCGGCTATTTCTAATATTCTTCGAATCTCTTGGCTGTTTCTTATGTGTTTTATGGGCAATGGCACGTTTCGCTCTGGTCCCGTCCAGTTCCCACTGAAAGCTTTGACTTCCCTTGGCTCCGGTGTTACCGCAGCAGGAGTTAGTCCAGACCTCGTGTCAGTTTAGGGTATGGAAATTACTTTGAAATGTGATTTGATTTGATTTGATCCAAACAGGGACTCATACAAACTGTCCCCCTTTGGTTTAAAACAGGGTAATAGGCCAAGAAAAATAGTAATTTCAATGCTGAGAAGTGGAAGAGGAGAAACTTAACTGCTTTTAATGCTGCAGCCTCCTCCAAAATTCATGAGGCTTTTTTGTCGAAGGTGAAAAGAAAGGTGGATGCAGCAAGAGCCTTCCTTTAGTCCTGTCTTATTCCTGGTCTCATTTCTATGTTATGCTCGCCTTTTTGTTTTCTTATTTGGATGTAAGAAGCAAAATTATGGCGCTAATGATGCTTGTGGCTTTGCCCTTTTCTTTTAAAACTCCAGTAAAAGTGTCCTGGGCGGGCTTCAGGCTGACCAAGTGCCACTGCCTACAATGAGCTGATTTTTTTTTTTTTTTTTTAAATAATAAAGACGAAAAGGTTCTTTTAGAGACAGCCAGAAAAAGCCATAGGTAGCGGGAGGGTGAATAAAAGGATTAAAGGTTCATCCTTAATAGAGAGGGGCCATGGTTATCAGCTTTGTCCTGCCTCGCTCTTGTCTGCCCTCCAGCCAGAAAGGCTCTCCCAGCCAGCTCCCATCAGCCTGGAGCATCTGCCTCTGTATTTGACATCCCAAAAAATAAAATATAAAATAAAAGGAAGCAAACAGCTGAACTACAGATGCCAAAGGAGCCCCTCCGTTGTCATTTGTCGTCTTCGTAGCATGTTTTGGTGAGGTGGCTGCGGGAATAAGCCGTTGGGATGGTGTGGTTGTGCGGATGAGCAGTGGTGGGGCAGGACACGGTGGCGGGATGGGGATGGAAATTGCACCAAACTGGAGACATCCCGGTCTATAAGAGGCGGGTCCTCACCCGGCCGGTTTCCTCCCAGTGAGCTGCAGGTCTTTGGTGTCAGTAGGTGCAATTTCTGCTGGTTCAGTTGAGTATAATTAGAGGTGTAAAAGAGTTGGGACATTGTCTGTGAAAAAGGGGGGAAGAGAAGGACTTTGTGGCTGGAAACAAGGAAGAGGATCCTGTTTTTCCTTTGTGCCATCTGTTTCTCTAGGAGACCCCATTAGGGCTTTTTTTTTCCTCCCTCTTTTCACATTCATCAGCACCCATCCCTCTTTTTTTGTTTTGTTTTTTTTTCCTTTCTTGCAAAACTTGAATTAGTTGCGTATCTATTTGGATATCAAAATTTTAAATGCGTGACATAAAAAAGAGCTACTTCCCTTCCACTTGCCTTTGCTTTACAGAGATAAGGAAATGCACATCGCAGCATTTTTATGTGTTTTTGGTTTCTGATCCCCCCCAAATTTTTAACCCAATGAAGGGATGACCGTACCAGTAGTGGACTTGCACGTCTCAGCTACTTTCCGTGACCCCTGAGTGCATCCAACCTTGCACTGAGGCCAATGCATAGCTGGTGGCAGAGGCAGGGTAGCTGCAAAGTATTCCAAAAAACGCAACCAAGCAAAGTCTTGATGCTCCTTCCTTTTGGCCTCCTGCTTTTGCTTCGTGCGATGGCTCCTCGCACGAGCCATCGGTGGCAATCCCATTTGCACTATAGTTTCTTACATCCCGCAGAAATCATACTTATTTTGCAGAGCGGGTTTAGAGGCAGGAAGGATCATCCATAGCTGGCGAGGGCTTGACAGATACTTCTGAAAACCAGAGCAGGAGGTGGGAAACCCCCCGCTCTGCACCCCTGGGGCGTTTGACGGGCTACATTTAACCTTTCTTAGCCTCCCTTGAAAGCTACAGCTCAGGGTTTACGTGGAGCTGTTTGAAGGCCACAAAACCCGGGGCTTGGCTTAGCCGCTTTAGCGTCACTCTTTGGAGAGGCGGTGGCTGGTGGATGGAGCTGCTGACTGAACATCCCTCCAGGCTGTTTTTTGGAGCAGCTGGAGTTTGTTGTGTCTTGCTCAAGTAAAGCTGCTGGTGGGTTTTAGCCCCTTGTAGGTTACGTTGTTGCTTCCCCATTTTCAGAAAGCAAGCAAGAACCGCCTGTTGTAACAGAGAGACTCCCTCAAACATCTACATGTATTTGAGATGGGGAAAAAAAAAAAAAAATGCTAATTTATGGTTGACTTTGCAAACCACTTTTAATTCAACCTGCAGTGACCCCGTAAGGGCAGTCGTAGCAGAGCAGCCCAAGGAAAACATTGTCTTCACTGCTCGTAGGAAACTGTCCTTGACTGATCCCACTGCTTGAGCATTGGCCAGTGCATTGAAGTGGTGGCATCGGCCATCTGAGGAGAGGACAACCCCCAAAAGCCGATGCAGCTCTTGCAACCCTCTGCCCATATACCGTACGCCTGCTGCTTTTCATGTGAGATGGTAGAGGTTTCCCTTGGCTAGCACTCGGTGTCACCTTCAGGTTGAAAGTGTCTGTAAGCTATCAGGAACGGTCGCATGAATACAGCAACGAATTTCTTGGTTTTCTGAATGAAGATAGAAAATAATTTCTTGTTGCACTGAAACGGTTTTCCTCTCTTTTTTGGGAAGAAGGGAAATAGAAACAATTTCAGTTCAATGACAGTTTGCGTTGTGTCCCAGACTGATGTATCATGTTTAAAGAAGTTATTTAAGCTGTTGAAAGAAAACCCTTTGAATCTTTTAATTCCTTCCATCCTTTTGATGTATCGTGTTTAAAGAAGTTAAGCTGTTGAAAGAAAACCCTTTGAATCTTTTAATTCCTTCCATCCTTTTGCTAACAATTATTTACTGAATTTGATCTGAATTTTCCATCGATTTAAGCTTTCCAAGCCTATTGTTGAAAAATCATTTATGAGAGAGGTTAAAAAAGCCATCCATCTTCCCTCCTGCCCATCGAACTACAGCAGCATCTTGAGGACGGCAGCACTTTCACTGTGATTTCATTTTATGTTTCGCTTTCGTTCATCGATGGCTTTTCGTGAGCTAGCTGCAAACTTGAACACTTTGCTTTGTAGATGTTTATGAACACGCTAGTAGAAGGTGGATAAATGTAAGAAACTTATCAACCTACTGGGCTCTATAAGGACCTGTCAGAATTGAGCACTTACTAAAGCAGCCGTTAATGACTTACAAACTATTCTGGTTATAAATTATTGATGCATTGCCGAGGAGGGGGAGTTACATGGCCAGTAAATGCCCCGGCCTCTGCTACTAAAATTGTGAGTATGTGTGAATACTTTCAGAACTGGTGCCCTCAGAAAAAGCCATCGTTCCTTAGTGACAGGCGGGAATAAAGGCATTGGAGTAACTGGCCATACGCGGAGCTCAGCCTCAGCCGGTGCAGCAGATGAAGACGTCGTCTGGGTGAATGGACGCTCCCAACATCTGGTATCTAAAAAACTAAAACTAGAGTGTGAGACGCCCACCAAGGGCAAGACTGCGCAGCCCATAAGGTGATAGTGATGGAGGACACGGCCTCTGCTGCGTGGACACCGCAGGGACCGGGATAAGGGCTCGAGGGCCATCGGGTTGCAGGAGACGAGACCTGGGAAGATCTGACAGAGGTTACCCAAGGAACAAATTTGCGGAGAGGGCGATGAACGCGGCTCAGTCAACTGTGTAG